CAAATTTTGTCAGTTATTTGTCCCTTTTTGCTACTGAATTTTCAGTCATTATTAGGTAAGCTTATCTCACTGCTAGAATATAAAATCTACTAACTTGTTTTCTTATAGAATTTCTATGATTTCATTTTATAACTTTAAGTCTCGTATCTTTTTGGATTTTATTTATAGTTTATGATGTGAACAGTACATCTATCTTTTTATATATGGCTATTCAGTTAGTGAAAGTTCATCTTTTCTCACTGATTTGAGATGTCACTTTTATTATATATAAAGTTTTTATTTTATAGTATCAACATTGAAACATAATGCTATGTTGAGATTATTATGAAATGAGATAATGAAGTTTGTAAAAGGCTTTAGTCTGACTGCATCTGGAAAATATTTAATAGCAGTGTTCCTTGAGTGCTAGGAGTTTTGGAGTTAAAATTTGACATGTTCGCAGATCATGATAATCTCAGGAAGTACACTCAGTGTTCTAGAGACCACTGTCTCAGACTATTCCAGGAGATACAGTGAATATAAGAAAAAAAACACTACCATTTGTTATGTACTCACTATATATTTATTATTGGGCCTGCATTACTTTATCTCATTTAAAAAAAACCCATGGGATCTTTGTCTTACTGAAGAAGTTCTGAAATATTCAGCAGCTTAACAAAATTGTCAAGGACTCAAACTCATTCTGTCTTTTTCCTTCGGCACACTCAGCACAGCAGCTCAGATTCCTAGTGGGATGAAATAGTGGTTCTAGGCATTATTTATAGTCATGACATCATTTTGGGGGAAAGGAGGATGCTTTGGTTCTGAATGTGTCTTTTTGTCTCCAACAGTAATTTTTCCTAGAAGCCCACTGAGAACTTTGAACCACGTCTCAATGGCCAGCCTTGATTTATGTGCCATGCCTGAGCTGACCCCTACAGGGGGAGTGGGACTTCCATGACTGAGTCAAACAATCAAGCTTCTCTTTGGGCTGGGGATGAGCCTCCCTTCCCTGATGCCCATGACTACACAACACTGTAGAGGATACTAGAGCAGAATCACAGATCCCCTAGAAAGGAGGAAGAAATTGGCAAATGTTATTGGGCAACATCTATCATGAACTGCTATACAGTTGGTCCCCTTTATCCGTGGTTTCCACATCCATGATTCAGCCAGCCTCAGGTGGAAAATATTTGAAGAAAATTGTGTACATATTTTTTCTGGTCATTGTTCTCTAACCAATAAAATATAACAACTATTTATATAGCATTTATGTTGTATATTGTACTATAAGTAATCTGTATTATAAGTAATCTGGAAGTGATTTAAAGTATACAGGAGAATATTTGTGGGCTATTTGCAAGCACAATACCATTTCAAATGAGGGACTTGAAAACCTACAGATTTTGGTATCCTGGAGAAGGAAGGGGAGGTCCTGAAACCAATACATTGCAGATACCAAGGGACAACTGCAAATGGTTAAGTATGTTTAAGCAGTTCTGGGTTAGACAAAGCTAAACAAATTTCTTTATGAGATGACTTCTCAGAGCTATATTATGCTAACATGCAGTATTTCTGGGAGGAGATAACAATGTTCAACATTTTCCCGGAAGGAAGCTCCCCCGCTGCCATCCCAGGCTCCTAGGGCAGAGAAGCTCAGCCAGTCCCAGAACCCAGAAGGAAGCTCCTCTGCTGCCATCCCAGGTTCCTAGGGCAGAGAAGGTGAGCTGGTCCCAGCACCTGGAAGGAAGCTTCCCCACCACCATCCCAAGCTCCTAGGGCAGAGAAGCTGAGCTGGTCCCAGAATCCAGAAGGAAGCTCCCCTGCTGCCATCCCAGGCTCCTAGGGCAGAGAAGGTGAGCCGGTCCCAGCACCCAGAAGGAAGCTCCCCTGCTGCCATCCCAGGCTCCTAGGGCAGAGAAGGTGAACCATGTGGGTGCCAGAAGCACCCCCCACACACACCGTGGAAATGAGAAAACACATAAACAAGCCTCAAAAACAGAGTTCCAGATCACCTACAGCAACTCCAGAAGAAACGAGATGGAACAATCTGATACTCAACCACCTGGACTCTCTCAACTGGCAACAAAAGAGGATCTGGGAAAAATGAAATCAGAAATAATTACTCAGATAACAGCAAAGATTTTGCTCACGGTGCAGGACATGATTAGTAAATCTAGAGAGGACACAGATAAAAAAAAATAGAGGATCTGAGGAACATGATGGAATCCCAACATAGGAAACAAATGGAATCCATAAAACAGATACAAACAGATTTCCAAGAGATTAAAAACTCCATTGAAAGTCTGTGCAGCAGAATGAACCAATGTGAGGATAGAATTTCACATATAGAAGATAAGATTGCAATTAATGAGGAGGAAAAGAAAAATTGCTTTAAAATTGTAAGGGAACATGAGAAATCAATCCAGCAGCTGCTAGACGATGCAAAGAAGAATAACATAAGACTGATTGGAGTCAATGAAGAAAGAGGAGAGAGTGCAGATGACATAAAACTGTTCACAGAAGTGATGGCAGAAAACTTCCCAAGGAGGGGAAAAGAACTTGACATACAGATAAGTGAGGCATATAGGTCTCCAGCTAGCCTTAATCAAAAAAAATCTACATATAGGCATATAATAGTTAGGATTCCAGAAATCCAACAATGTTCAACATTTTTAAACTTATTTGGCCCCAGAAAACTTCTTCCCCCTATCAAAAATTTCTAGGACATCAATGTTCCTCAAAGTGCATTTTAGGAAATGCTTAACACAAACTCTAAGATCTGTCCCAATTATAATATTTTATGATTACCTATAAAACTAGATTGAGATTTGTTGAGTTGAAAGAAATCCATAAATACAGCTATTTTATCGTTCAGGTTCTCAGCACAGTACAGATGATGTAGGAAAGTTGGGGAGATTTAATAAATAAGCTAGATTCAAAGCTTTGGGGGAGCCGCAAAAGATGGTGCAGTGTCCTCTCATGCCTGCAGAGGTGAAGGGAGCAGGTAGATTGCAGAAGCAGAGATGGAGGAAACTGCTTAAGCAGAGTTGTGGCTCTAGCTAGGAGACATAGTCCGAGCACCTGTGTATTCCAGGTGCTCCCTGCTCACCTGCTGGTGCTCTGTATTTTCCAACTGGAAGTCAGTAGGAGCCCACTGATGTAGCCCAAAGTGTCAGTCTCTTAGGGCAAATTGAAAGTATTGAGCACAGCTCCTCAACATCTTATTCCACCTTAAATATTTCCCTGGAGCCATTTTAGTATAAGAGTAGAAGGGACAGAGCCTGGAAGCTAGACAGACCCGGATCAGTATCTGGGTTCCACCTTAGTCGTTCATTTTTCTAAGTCATTTTGCAGCATTTCAACTGTCTCTCATGCCTCTAGTATGTGCTGTAAGACATATGTTGCAAGACTGTTATGATTAATTTAGAATACCCATAAAAAGTGTCGGACTCATAGTAGGTCCTCTAACAGATGTATTTTTTCTGTTTCCTTTCCTCTCTCTGCCATTTGCCAAATATAAATTATGAAACAACTGCGGGCTGGGCACTGTGCAAGTTAGATGTTCTTTATCCACAGAATGTGTTTGGCCTGTGTATTGAGATGCATTTCCACACCAGGTAGGGCTAGATGACACTTAAGGTCCTCTGCCTCCAGGACACTAAGAACACATTCATCACCAGGAGAACATAGCACTGATAACTTGGCCATCCTTTGAAAATGTTTGTTTTGGCTCCACTAAGCTTCCCCAACCTATTGGCATCACTGAGGAGGCTTTTGAAAACTGCAGATTCCAAAACTCTACCTCGAGTCTCCTGAGACTGATCACTGGGACAGACCTGGGGATCCTGTTTTAGGATTTCCTCTGAGGCAATTCTGATAGTTGGCTAAGTGTGCTTACCTCAGTCCTGGGTGCTACTGAAATGTTGGCACTTTCATTTGGCCTTTTGGAAGAAGGAATTGGAAACAAGGGAGCATTCACAGTTAACCTCATTTCCAAATGTAAACTCAAAGGCAGCCAACACAGCATCAAGGTTTAGTCACCATATCTACTGGGAAGATGTCCTTCCCTCTGTATTTGCAGAAGACTTATGGGTCAGAATGATTTCTGACTCAGGGCCACTAGTAAACTATAAATAACAGCCTAATCCTGGTGCCTTTGCTCATCAAAACTCTTAGAAAACAGGACATCTCGTTCATTCCCTGTCTCCTAAGTCCCGTTCTCTGTTTTTGCCAAACAATTTAGTCCTAAAATCCTTAAGCCAGGTACAGCAAAGTGGGCATCCATGGTGGTGTTAGTAGGAAAGCTGTGGAAGTCCAGGGGGCTGGTGAGGAGGCAGTGTGCCTCAGTGGGCTGTGCAGCCTGTGGTATGAACCTGAGGGGGTGAGAAGTGTTACCATGCAGCACGAATGTGAGTGTGTGTGTTTACATGTGTGCATAGCGAGACCACTTCATGTTGGGGCCAGAGCTTATGCTTGGTGAGCAGAACATCCACATTGCATGGGGTGGGCAGGGGAATCGAGCCTGAGCAAGAGGAGGGGGACATCTTGAAAAGAAGGGGATGGGGCAGAGGTGGGAGAGGGACTACAGGGTGATCTACAAAATAATTAGCCTGTGTTCTGCAAATATATGGGGGTCATGAAAGTAAGGACAACATTGAGGAACTGTTCCAAACTGACTGAGGCAAAAGTCAAGTGTGATTCTGAACTGGGTCCTTTGGGACAATAGGGACAACTGGAAAAACTTGACTGGCATCTGCATCTAAGGAGTATTCCTAGAAATAAAACAATGTTAATTTCCTGATTGTGATGGTTGCATTGTAGTTATAGGAGAGAGTGTCCTATTCTGTAGGAAAGACATGCTAATGTATTTGGGAGGTGATAAGCATCATGTCACCTTACTCTCAGACGAAGGTGGAGCAGACTATCTTTACATATTTCTATAATTTTGTGATTGCTTAAAATATTATCATCAGGAAAAAAGCATAGCAGGGCAAGACTCCTGTAACAAATTACCAGACCATAATATATCTATGTGGGGTTTTTTAGGATTAGTTTATTCAGACCCAAACAATGAGAAATGTTCCACATAATGCCAGAGTTTGCTATAATTTAAATAAACTGATAGAAAAAAAAGATGTCACATATCGCTTTTCTCATATGAAGGTAGGAAACACAACTTTGACCACAATTGCTAGAAAAAACAAATACACACTCTACCCTTTATTAAATAACTTTAAAAACCCATTTATTAAGTCAATGATCTGTTGGGCAAGCTTATTAATTTCTTTTGTACATGCCTTTGTCATGGAGTAACCAGGTTAAACACTTTGCCTATCAAGTCAGCATATGTGATTTAGCAAGAAAGCTTAAGGAATCCTTTTTTTTTAAAGTTTTTTGAGACAAGGGCTTATTACATAGTTCAGGCTGGCCTCAAACTCACAGTGATCCTCCTGCCTCAGCTTCCTAAGCGCTAGGATTACAGGTGTGCACTACCACACCTGGGTAGAAATTCTGATCTTTGGGCCTCCTCTGCGCTCACTCCTTGTGTCCTGGAAGTAGATCTTGGGGCTTTTGTGTCCATCTTTCTGACTCAGTCACTGTGACACACCAATCCTCTTGGACACCCATGTATTGGTTACATCATCATAATGCCCAATAGAAAGCAACCTCCTAGGATTGGAGATCTGTTTTAGGTACTTTTCATCCTAAAGTTCTTTATTTCATGACCAGAGGGAAAGACTTGTTTCAAAAAATTTTTTTTATGTAGTTCCACTACAGCCTAGTATCAAAAATCTTTCATTCCAAAAATAAAAAAATTTTAAAAATAAAAACTTTCATTCTCTTCAAGGTAAGATGTTGGCTGGTCACACTGACCCTGATGCCCAAGGCTTAGTGGAGTCCTCCTGCTCTGAAGTAGCATCAGGCATAATAGGTTCTTTCTTTCTTTTTTTAATGAGGAGCTTTCTGTCCATGGTTTGGTCCTTGTGTTTTTGCCCAGGCTCAGAGGACAACATCATAGATTGCACTCAATTGACATTTTTCATGTCACAGTAATTATCTCTTTCCCACAGGCTGCTCTACTGACAGCAATGTTGCTCTGAAAACCTATCTTCTATCACAGGGAACATTACACAATACTCTCTGGGATGTGAGTACACTTTTCTTCTAATTGTGAATGTTGTGCATTCTCCTTTGTTTTTGCTTCTGAGTACAGCTTTGCAATGTAGTTCATGCAATGCTTAGAGTGGGAAGCTGAAAGAAAAACATATCAAAGGTGACTATTTCTCTTGAACAACGTGGTACCCATTTATTTGAAACACTTTGCTTAGACATCGTGTTTTTAGATCTATATATTAATGTCATAAAGTCTAACCCAGAATTTTTTAATGCAAATAAATGGTCTGAATGTATTGTTACACCCTAATTTCTAAAGGTCTTGTTCTATAAACAACATACTAATAAACCTAGTATAAAATATATGGAAATTTCTGCTACATATGTGTTGCCTTCAGCAAAATCACATATTAAAAACAACAAGGTTTATGAGGAAAAACAGCTTGGGGCAGGCCCTTCAAAGATTATGCCATTGTGTGTACACAAAGGGTAAAGGTAGCCCAGGAAGTGACCCAGCTGACACATTATACTGACATCCTTCTTTGCTTTGCAGCCAGTCAAACTGTAGTTTACATACATTTTCTCCTCCCTCCCCAGCATTCAGACAGCTAGTTTTCTCCCTCCCTCTCTCTCTCTCTCCCTCTCTCTCTCTCTGTTTCTCTCTCTCTCTTTCTCTCTCTCTCATGAGCATACCTATTCTCTCTTTTCATTTCACATTCTAGGAGGTTAAACAAAGCAAAAGGCAGAGGTGTAAGACCAGCTTCCTACAAAATCTCAATCAAAGCAATAGAATCAAGCAACAGAGCTCACTGCTTATCTCGAAACTCCTGGCAGGTAGAATAATTTGCACAGAGGACATAAAATGGTTGGGAGGTCTAAAAGAATTACTTTTATATAGACCTAGCTTCTGCCTACTGGATCTTCATTGAGAGCTCGTGCGCGCATGCACACACACACACACACACACACACACTTCCCTTATCATTTAGATTCTTTTCATTTTATTTACTTATTTTGCTTAAGGAATTGCAACAAAGCCATCCAAAAGACCTGAAACATTAAGACTGGTATTCATTTAATCAACACAAGTTTGTCAAGAACTCCATTTGTTTGGGTTTTTTGTTGTTGTTGTTGTTGTTGTTGTTGTTATGTTTTTCGAGACAGGGTCTCACTATGTATTCCAAAGTGCCCTTGAACTCACTATGTAGCCCAGGCTGGCCTCGAACTCACAGCAATCCTCCTGCCTCAGTCTGAGAGTGCTAGGATTAGAAGCATATGCCACCATGCCCAGCTCAGCACTACATTTTTGCCAGGCCTAATGCTAGAATCCAGGGATATGGGGTAAATCCAATTCTACCTGAAGGAATACTGTAGTAGCTAAATCAAACCACCAAAAATTACAGAGTGGTGTGAGAAATGCTTCACTCATAAAAGTGCATGTAGCATACTCTGGGGCACAGGCAGGGAATACAGTGTCCCTACATGCGACAGCAGAGTCAGGGATGGCTTCCACTACATCAGCTTCATTATTGATTGTTTTTTTTAAGATGAGCATCCTTGAATTTTATAAGATGACTTAAGAGATTGACTTTCTAGTTCTAAAACTCAAACTTTGATATCTTTTCTTTTTCTCCTTAAAGCCAAATGATGAATGAACCTCATTTTTCAAATCCCAGGTCACACAGCTGACTTACTTTGACCATTTTTCTCTTGGGAAGATGTTTCTTCATTATTTGACCTTGATCTGTAACTTTCTAGGGTGTGTTCTGACATTTCATTTTCTGTAAGAAAAGAAGATTAAGTTACAGATTTCTGATGCCACAGATATCACTTACACGTTGAAATGTAAATTTGAATAAGACCTCAGTGACAGTACCATAGCTGATTAGCCCCTCCAGTACTTCTTGTCTGTATTAATTCAACACATTACTGGGATCCCTGCAGGCACTGTCAAGGCACTACAAGAGCTGTGGAAGGGAAATGACACCAAAAGAGAAGCAAGTATTGTCCTTCAGGAAGGGACAATTGAAATAGCCCCCAAAGAGTGATGGGAGTAAATCTTTAATGAGAGATTGTGAAACAATATTATGGTGTTTGTTTGCTTATTGTGCAGATGGGTACAACTGAAAAGTCAGATCCTGTCTCCAGGTTTATTTATATAAGAACATTAGTCCATCTGACTATCTAGACACTGATATGAAACAACCCAGGGTGACACTATTCAAAGCTATTTCAAGATGTGTTTTGCCTTAAGTTGTAAGGAATTCTCTGTTACCTGGGGTGTTTTGGCCTTAGGTGGCTACATTATCACTGTCCAGCAGCACTATAATGTGCACCACCTGTGTAATTTATTTATTTATTTTTTGTATATCCTTTTATTGGTACATATTAGGTGTACAGTATAATGACAGTCATCGTTGGAGATATTCACCTTTACATACTCTCTTGGTTCTTATTTTTTTCCCCTTTCCCCTGCCCTCCCTTCAACCCCTCCATCCCTCCCTATTTACAAAGACTTTGTTTCCATTTTTTCATTTTCTCATATTAATTCCATTCCCTTCTTTCCTTTCCCCTACCCCTCCCACTTCCCCTTCCCCTTTGCCCCTTTTCTTCCTATTTCACATTATCTATTATACATTTTAGTCCTTATTTACACTTTTTTTCCTCACACTAGAGACCACCTGTGTAATTTAATATACTCCATGGCAAGGAGTGTGGCTCAGTGGTAGAGTGTTTGGTTAGCTTTTTCAAGGTCCTGGGATCACTCCTCAGTGCACACATGCACGCACACACACTCACAAATAAATTCTAGCAGTCACACTTAAAAAATAAAAAGAAGCAGGTGAAATTAATGTAATAATATATTTTATTTAACTGGTACATCTGAGATTTTCTTTTTTGAAACAGGGTCTGTCTCTCTATGTAGTTCAGGCTGGCCTTGAACTCACTATGTAGCCCAGGCTGGCCTTGAACTTATGACTATCCTCCTGCCTCAGCCTCCAGAGTGCTGGGATTACAGGTGTGTGCCACCACACCTGACTCTGAGATATTATTATTAGGTATATTCTCATGCACATTTGTGTGTGTGTCCTGCATCTTCTAAACTGGATGTGTACTTTGTGCTTACAGCCCATCTCATAAGGACTAGTCCCATGCGAAATGCTCAATAGCTACCATGTGGCTGCTGTACTGCACAGCATAGGGCTAGATAACAACTCAGTGTTAAAGAGCAGATTTAATTGTGGCATCTGGTTATAAAATGAATGGAGTAGATATATTCTGAATAAATTCTAAAGTCCCTTCCAGCTCCAAATTGTGTTGTACCTTTAATAGTACTTTAATAGTATCTTCTATTCTAGCTCAATAACTTTTGTTTCTAATGATAATTTTTAAATTAGAAAGCTCAGGGAAAATTACTAAGATGTTATGTTTGAGTGAGGCTAAGTGCATTCTTAAAAAGTAGGAATGGCACCAAAACAGTCTGTTACATTCAACCTTTGTCCACAACTAGAATGTAAACTTTTTGAGGCAAGGACCTGCTTTGTCTTATGACATATGTGTCCCTAGGGCCTGGAACAGTGTCTGGCACACAGTAGGCACTCCAGTGAATACAGAATGAATGAATGAATGAATTGACTCTCCATTTTGTATCCTTTTTTGAACAGAACCATCCATAATTTATTGCCAATTCTCAGGGCTACTTCAGTTTCTGTGGGTCATGCACTCTCTGACCATACTCCCTGGAGAGTCACAACTCTTGTTTACCAGGAAATAATGGCCCGCCTGACAGCGCTTGTCTACTATCTTAGGTGGCAGCTAACAGAAAGCTTGAATGGATAGGATTCTCTCCTAGTCTAGCCAATACTCACAGCATCTGACAGACTCCCTTGGGCCCTGCCCACTCACCCTTCTTCCAGACCACGTGTGCCTTCCGCAGCTTCATTATGAAGAGCTGGACTATGATGAAGAGGATGAAGATGAGGAAGGACACAAGTGTGAGCAGCAGGATGCCACTTTTCTTCCTTGTCAATCCTAGATACTGAAGATTTGCTTCTGTAAGGAAAATGAAAGGACTTTAGGCAGGTTTTTTTTCCCTGTTGAGGAATACCTATAGTACTTTTGTGCTACACTGTAGGCTAAGACATAGCTCAGATGAAGACAGGGCCAGAGCTTACTCTGAAGAGAAAGAGCACATAGTGCTTATTCTCTGAATCCAAAACAATTCCAGAAAATGATCTGAAAAAGTATTTTAACTGACATTGTATTAAAATAGTACCCATTCCTAGAGGAAGCATGCAAATACTGACTTAATTTTTTTTTTTTTTTTGCAAAAATGAAGTTAAGTAGCAAGAGAGATTGTTAAAGAATTTGGAAAGCTATTCAAATAATATGAAAATTCATTTATCTTGGCTA